TTACCCAGTTACGTTGGAAGTTCTAAGCCTTTTTTATTTGCCGATGACTCTACACTAATATCCTCCGGATCGGACCTTCACGAACTTAGTGTCTCTCTAAAGTCAGATATGACCTCAGTGTCCCGTTGGACTAACCATAACAAAAAGCGTTTTCAACGTCTTTTCGTACCTATTTTGTCATTTTTAGGCTTAATTAATTGAAAATAAATTTCAGAAATAAAACACTTTTAACAGTATATTGACAAAATTACAAATTCTATTTTTGGTGTTTACATACGCCGGTCATATATTTCCGGTTTGAATCACATGATGCGTTTTATCGTCTCTTAGCCAATCAGCATAACATCCAGATTCTGGATTCATGGCTTTAGAGGCGAATTGTGTCAGGCCCTCTTTCAATACCGAGGGCCTGATACTCAGGTTATAAGTTTTCAAGTAATACCTAACTTCAACCTATAGTAGCAGGTTTAATTTAGTAGTAAGGGTATAGTGCGTTACAACGAGTATACTCGTTCGTGTATGAAAAATGTGCCAATGAGACATTTTTGCACGTATATAAATTTGATAACACACGTAATTTGGGTATTAATAATTATTTACAGCGGGAAGGCCAAATAAGGCTAGACGACGGACGGGACAGTACGTCCCATGCGAGGTGTAAGCCCAACTATTTATAGAAAAGTGGCAACCATGTCGTGTAAATATAGCACCTTAATCCATTATGACATAATACAATCGGTTATGACATAATATCATTTATTTAACTATTTTCTTCACTTAGGTTTTATACTTTGTTAGTTATTTCTACTGCTCTTTTTGACAAGCCACCTTTCAAGAATTTGATCGTAAATGGACTTGTACTGGCATCGTAAGTGTAAACTTCTAGCCAGCTGGCTTTGGCCTTATTTGGTGTACGCTGATTGGCTGAAATTGATTTCTGCAACACACTGTATGCATGAGTGCATTTTCCGAACATAATTTCTTCTCATGTGAGAAGAGTTCAACAAATACCACATGAGTTTCATTCAACAAATACCACATGCAGGCTATCTTGGAAAGATCGTTGCTAAAGTGGACGGACGAGAGGGCCGAAACAATCGACAACCAGGCGCTCGCAACATTCCCAAACCTTCTCTATCTCTCACCGTACACCTATACATTACCCTAACATTCACTAGTGCCAAATCTGAGTTTAAATTTGGAACCGTATTTTGTAAACTCACTCTCGTCCTTCACTTTTATAATCATTCCGCTTCTGGAACGTTGTAGTTTTCTCCTGTAGTATATGGCAGGGTAAGTAAGATCTGGCTCTTACTGGAAATCTGGGAGAACGTTAGCCAGTAGAAACTGAGTTAGTTTGAATTAGTTTGCCCTTTATATAACGAAAATCTTCTCTCATAAGTTAAATAAGAAAGATGCCGCGTTTACCTCTGGCCATGTATACATACTACAATATGTTCGTCTGTATTCGTGTTGATATTTTATGTTTCACATATATTGAAAATGATGTAGACAAACCACTTGTTGAGTACTATTTTTATTCACAATAGAGATGGTTCAAAAATGAGCAAAAGGAAGAAAAATTATCCAGATCCAATGGGAGTGATTGATAAATATGGTTCCGACGCTCTAAGGTATAGACATCTATTCTATGATTGCTAGTTTCTAAGTAGAGGGATCGAAGGGAGTCGACCAATAACATTGTTTTCTCAGAGTCTCAAAACAAACAACAAAGTAAGTATCAAGCCGTAAGTTAAACAACGAACAACAGCTAAAGTATTTTTTATTAGGTTATACTTGATCAATTCACCTGTGGTGAGAGCAGATACTCTGAAATTTCAAGAAAAAGGCGTCAAAGATATCATCAAAGACGTGTTCTTACCTTGGTTAAATGCATACAGATTTTTGATACAAAATATACAACAATATGAAAAGGTGAGAGTTTCGTACTATATCATTGATGTTTGAAGTGCACACATAAGTCCCTTTATTTTTGCAAAGTTCGCTTTGGTATACTGAACATCTCTGTCATCTAAATCAAGATGCAAATCAAGACATGGTGTATAGTATTTAATAGTAATGTCTGCAAGCTTTCAATTAACTTGTGTGTACGAGTGACAGAATGTCATACATGAACTAAGATGCGAATCAAGATGAGGTGTATAGTATTTAGTAATGTCTGCAAGCTTTGAATTAACTTGTGTGTACGAGTGTCAGAATGTTCATACGTTAGATATCCTGGTTTCCTGGTTGGAAAACTCGAGGTGTTTCAACTTTTTGGACACAACAAGTTACAAGAATGACAAACCTTGTGTACAGTTAGTTATGCTTTACAGTATTCAAAGATGACTGACAAGAAAATCCTCAGTAATTGACTGTAAACAATGAGACTTGTCACATTGAATTACTTGTCAAATTGAAGAGACTTGTCAAATTGAATTACAATATTTTTTCGTACATACGAGAAAAATAAACTTGTCGAGGTCAGATTGTTTACTATACACATAAACAGTTGCCAATGTTTGTATTTGTTGTTTATGTTTATGTTTATGTTTAAGGATAATGGAGTAAAATTTATGTATGATGAATCAAAGTTAGGTGTTTCGAATAACATCATGGATAGATGGATACTTTCATTTGTTCAATCTCTCGTTGTGTTCTTTGAAAAAGAAATGTCAGGTAAGCTTGCCAGTGAACAACTATGTGTTTGTTTTCTTATTTGTTAAACCACGAATACCTATTCAGAATTTCTATGACAGCACACCCTTTGAAGGATCTATGTTTAAGAATGTTAAAATTCGTGGACACATTATTTGTCAATATCTCGAGTGTTGGGTTTCAGTGTAGGTACTTATCTAGTATCAGTGGTAGTGATCAACAATATTGAAGGTTGATTGAAGATGCTGAGCGAAGGTTCTTTTGTTTGTCAAGTTGTTGCTTTACCAACCCTTCTGTATAGAAGTTAGTTAATTAGGTACAAATTAGTTAATTAGCTAATTAGCTACAAATTAGTCAATTAGCTAGAAGCTAGTTAGTTAAAAAGCTGGAAGTTTGTTAGCTAGGAGAGCCTTTGTTCGAAACGTCGAGTTTGTTCTTATTTTTCAGGTGGTTTGCCGTTTTGGCTCGTTCACACTTGCAATTTTTGATGCGATTTTCGTGTTCTGATGGATGTGAACGAGCTCTGAATGTTCAAATGAGGGTAGTGGGTACATATCAGTGGTACATATACTCAGAACACTCACATCTATACTCGTTCACATCCATCAGAAGACGAAAATTGCACTGGAAATCGCAGCAAAAATTGCAAGTGTAAACAGGCCTTGCACACCTAAAACCGCAAATTGTCACACGACCACTGTGAAATACGTGCATGGTGCCGATTCGTTAACTTTTGCAGTAGCTAACTTTTGTCAGCTTTAACTGCTTTTTATACAACCGCTGCCCAGGATTTTACAATGCTCGTGACATGTGTGTTTTCCAGCGTATCGCTTATATACTGTTGTTCCACGTTTGGTAACGTTCATTGATCAACTCACAAACTGGTATGTGAGGTCAAACAGAAAACGAATCAAGGTTAATATATTTGTTATGCATAAGAATAAACATTTGTTACTGATAGTCAACCTAGGGTGAGACAAAAACCACACTTCTTGAATATTTCTTATTTTGCTTTTAGGGTGAATTTGGTAAAGAAGATAGTTACATGGCGATGCAAACTTTATTTAATGTTATTTATACAATGAATCGAATGATGGTTAGTAATGTGTTATATCACTGCAGTTCATTCTATATTAAATGCATGACACTTAGAAATTAATCAATTAGGGAAATAAGAAGTTATGCCAAAAATTACAGGAACCACTGAGTATTTGAATAAAATATAAAACAGCGGTAAAAAATGTTAAAATGTTTATTTTTGGAGTTACCGTTGTTTTAAATAAGAAGTGCTGTTTTCTTTCAGTAAACATGTTTCGCCCCAGTTCATGCGAGACGTGTACGTATATGGTTTGCCTCTACCAAACACCACAGGTTTTCTCTGGGTGCTCTGGTTTCCTTCTTTAGTAATGCCTGGCTGTTAAGGGATATCCTTCCTTTGTCTATGCCTCTATGGGGAGAAACAGTTCAGAACTATTAGATCTTCTGCTAGTCCATGCAGTGTAAATAACGTTTACTTCAAGTCCAGTATAAATAACATTTACTTAAAGTCCAGTGTAAATAACGTTTACTTACTGATGTACACTCTAAAAATACTGTGATTAAAATTCCTGCATGGCTAAGCCTCTTGCATAACCTAGAAATGACCCTATATTTGGGTTAACTTTATATTATATACTTAATAAAGGTTACCAAGAAAATTAACCAAGAATATTACGTTAATCCAAATAGGATTATTTCTAGATTAACTGCAGGAAGTTTTAACCTTAGTGTTTATAGAATGTACAGTACCTGTCATTTGCATGTGGACGGTCCATTCATGTTTGTTATAAAACCTCTTATTTCCGCCACAGGCGCCGTTTACACCTTTTCTGACGGAATACATGTACCAGCGAATGAAAGATTACATTCAATTTGAGAAATCGGAGGAATATACGGACAGTATTCATTATTTAATGATTCCTAAACAAAGGTTTGTGATGCTTTACACAAGACACGCTTTGCATATTTTATATCCATATATGAATACAAAAGAGAGAACTCTTTAAACTGGAAAACAACTTTTTGCAAATTGATTATTTCCTCGCTGAGATATTTTCAGTGCTGTAGCCAGAACGATAATTGGGGG